TATCTGAGTGCTGCATAAATTATTCGTTGCTTTTTTATAGGATCCTGTCTATCAATTTTCAAAAGCATCATTCATGGGTGGAAAATTTCCTGCCTTAATCAACATTTTTATTTTTAGTAGATGAGGCAGTTATATGAACATAGAGGATACTGCATGCGTATCTGCGTGTTGAACTGTAACATTGGAGCCAATGAAGTTGTGTTGATCTGACCGTTGCAAGTCTAGCGCAAAAACGTATGATCGCACTGGCAAGCTTGACCTTTTCTACTCTGAGGTAGGTTTTTACTAGGATGCATTCGCACAGCGAGTGCACTGATGTTAGGCCATTACACTTTAGCTGCTTGTCTGCAGTTTAATTCCAACACCTCTTTGATGTTTGTGTTGTGTATCACTTACTAGTACGTAGAGTTCCGCAGGTGGTCAGCAAGGTCAGCAAAGCTTGCCTGTGGGTTTTACTTTCTGTTGTAATTGCAGTGACGTTCTGCATGCCATCCATCTGAGGAAAGTCATGTTGCTTACGTGGTCGGGAAGAGGCTTTCCAGAGATACGATTAGAGCTGCGTTACGAACTTGCGTATCCTTCGATGACATGAACTGGCATCTGATTCGTATTTTCAGATGGTTCAGGCATGTTTGACAAAAAAAAAAAAACAGCGACTTCTTCCGGAATACAGTGCGACTAATACAAACACGCTCATACTGAGCGCCAGTCATTCTGCTTGCGAGGCGACGTGATATCGCCACTGATACGATTTCTCACACAATAATCATAAGCGATATGAACTTGGCAATAAAACGCTGCTTTCATCATTATCATAATCCACGCACAGACAGTTCGACTTGAATCCGAAAAAATTTCTGAAAAAATAACTGCACATTCAAATAAACCAGTGAAAACTTAAAACGATGCAAAGGTTCGTGAATTAAGGATATCAGTAAGCAGTGGGTGAAGAAGAAACGGGATGAGTGCGCACTAGACGAAACTAACGTCAGAAGTGTCAGTAGTTTTACCACTAAGCAATACACTGTGTTAGGAAAGTTGCCAGTTAAAACAGCAAATATGTGAAAAAAAGGTACTCGCATTTCCGAATTTTTTTGCATTCTTTGAGTTCTTGCATCCATTACATCACCTCACGAAGCGATTATGCCATAACTCCTATTCCATCATAGTGGTTGATGTGTTGGTCCATAAATCGGATCAGTACACCTGCGCTTAAAAGGAGCAATTTACACCTGATGGAGTAATGTCTGGGACGCTTAGGGCTTTTCAGTCAAACACCAGACTTTGCAGCTGTGCGCTTGTCAAACGTTTCTGTCACGCTCATCTACCTAGTACCACATCAACACATTATCCATAAATTTACTGCTGTGCAAGCCAAATTTTGTGCGCAGCTACATATGAAATGCGCTACGCTGCTGTCTGCTCAGCAAGTCCCACAAAACGGGGTATTTTAATTCTTGAGTAATATCGACAATCCTTCCTAAAGGAGTAGTTTTCTGTACTGCATTTAATTCATTAATAGGCATAGAATAGTACTTTCGTTGCTTATTTTCGGCAATGGCGGAGAGTACGGGTTTTATTTTGCAAATAAACAAGAGCCTATGTAAGCTTGCCTGATGAAGAACTGGCACTAATGATGTAGTGGCGTCCAAATGTGAACTCATAAGCATGCATTTTTCCCGTATCTAAGCATTCGTGCCAGATTTAGCGAACTGTGCGGCTGTTGCAAGCAACATTATGGATGCTTTTAACTTGACGATTCTGATCTTGCGTGCCGTCGCTGCTGTAAGTGGCGTTCGGTTTCTCGCGCAGGGTTGCTTGCTTGATAGGTGCGGGTCAGTGTTGTTAGTTACAGGTATCGAGCTTGGTTTCCACGATCAATGCAATCATAGCGCTCGCTAGTGCGAGCTATTATGGCCATATCTGGCTACCGATCGTTGCCCTCATTTTACTCATCATCCTTCTTATTTGGACATTCATCGCTATTGCCGATGTTTTTGTTGGGCTGCATGAAAAACACGACTGGGTAAATACAGACAGTATCCACTTGAATTACATGCTTGAAAATGTTGCCAGCCCAATGTTGCCAAGAAAATGTTGACAGCCCAGATCTGATTTTTCTTCAGTTTTTGAAAAAAACAAATGCCCGTCCCATTTAGACTTTTCACTTCAGTGCCGAAATTCTGCATGCCTGCGTTCTATTTATGCGTTTTGTGCTGTGTAACAATATTACAAAACGCATATTGTTACGGGATTGTCTGCGCTTGTGA